GAGAAAAAATGCACAAAAAACTTAATTAAATTTTCCTACCCTTAAATGTTACGTCTTCGCACAGGCTCATTACCGAGTAGGGGAGCGTCCTATAGGTGGTGGATGTGGAATAGTCGGTGGAAATTCCTTGGGAAGTTCCTCCCGGCTAAGTTCGATGGACTTGCTGGCCAACAAATAGAGGGGCCCTCCATTCTTGTTGGAGGGTGTGACTTAAGATTGAACGTCTTACTAACATATCTTTAGTCCACCATACATCACAAATAGTCATGGATCTCACTAAGGTAAAACGCTCATTATGGAGGTAAACTAGTCCCCTGTTCGGTTCTCCGGGTGGAGACTGCTTTAGAGGATTTATGGCGCATATTGAAAAATAGGGATTTAGGTATAGGTACATGGAATGTAAGGAGTTGGAATTCAGCAGGTGGGTTAAAATCGGTGACAAACAAGGTTAATGGGTACAACTTGGATATCGTGGTTCTGAAAGAGGTTCGCTGGCCAGAGAAGGGCTCGATAAAGGAAGGAAAGTACACTATTTGGTATGGAGGAAACGGGAATCACTGTTTAGGTAACGGGTTTCTAATCAGGAATAGATTGTTATCCACTTTGTGAGACGTGTAATAGTGCTTTAGTAATAGAATTTTGGTAGCCATATTTCAGGGACGATGGTTTAAAATCGTGTTGATAAACTCAAGCGGGTTTATGATAAACTACCGCGAAAATCCATGAAAATAGTTGTAGGTGATGCGAACGCAAAGTTTGGAAGGAAAAAAGTTTATTTTTCTACGATTGGTAAAGAAAGTTTGCACTAATACAGTAAAGATAATGGGATCAGTCTGATAAACTTTGCCATCTCGAAAAACCTGGTAATTAAAAGTACTACTATGTTTAAACATAAGGATATTCATAAATATACCTGGACATTACCGGATTCACAAACACGAAATCAAATCGATCATGTATTGATATAACATAGCTAACAAAGCATTATAATCAATGTACGGTTTTATTGCAAAGCATAATGTGGGTCGGATAATGAATCAGTAATCGCAAAACTTCGACAAAAATCTATATAAAAAAGGGAAAAGAAAACCGTTTCGATATCAAGAATTTTTTATTTGGAAAAATTAAAAAATCCATCAACAAGAACTCAATTTGAGCTAGATGTCAAGAATAGGTTTGAAGCTTTAGAACCTTCTGACGAGGACCACGATAATATAGAAAAGTTATGGGTAGAAATTAGGGATAATATTAAAGTGGTCGGAAATTCATGTTGGGAAAAAGTAAAATAAAAAGAACAAACCGTGGTTCGATGAAGATTGTTTAAACATGTGGAATAAAAAAAGCTGCTAAATAATTCTAGCGAAGACAATCACAAATACTTCCGAACATTAAAGAATGAAACTACTAAATTGCTTACAAATAAAAAATAGAATATCTTAAAAATAAAATAATTGAAATAAAAACTAATAGAGTTGAGAATAATGTAAGAGACATATATAAAGGTATAAACAGGTCACGTAAATGTTTAGGGCCCATTACGTTTGGAATTAGGGATGAAAATAACAATATTCTGATCAATCCGGTAGATTTATTAAATAAGTTTAAGAACCACTTTGACAATATTATAAATACAGGAAATAATGATCTGTGTCCTCCTTTTGAGTACCAGAGTGCTGAACCGTTAACAGAAGAACTGAGTAAAGAAGAACTTGAAGTAGTTATCGGGAAATTAAAATCTTACAAAGCAGCGGGAACCGATAATATTCCTAGTGCACTAATTAAGGCATGCGGGGAAGCTTGAGTTTCTAAAATATATTTATTGGTTAAAAAGATCTGGAAAAAATGAGAAATTGTCTGAAGAATGGAAAGATTCTATTTTTATTCAGATTCATAAAAAGGGGTCGAGGAGGGATTGTAATAACTATAGAGGAATCTCACTCCTTCCGGTATATTATAAAATATTTACATTAATCCTTACTAATAGAATCAGGGAATATGCTGAGGAAATTATCAGAGACTAGACTATCAATGCGGATTTAGACAGAACCGTTCACTTAATCAAATATTTTCTTTACGGCAGATATTGGAGAAAAAATTAGAGTACAACGGCATTGTTCACCAACTGTACATCAATTTCAAAAAGGCTTACGATTCTATTGACCACCGGAAGCTGTATAATATTTTAATTAAGCATAGGATTCCAAAAAAATTAGTAAATCTAGTTAGAATGTGCTTGACAGAAACACTCAATAAAGTTAGAATCGGTAATTATTTATCCGAAAAGTTTGAGGTTCGCTCAGGTTTAAAAAAAGGTGATTCCCTTTCACCTGTCCTCTTTAATTAGGCATTAGAACATGCCATTGGGGAGGTAATGTGTATCGAAAAAGGGTTGAATCTGGTTGGGATAACACTTGGCTATGCGGATGATTTGGCCCTGTTAAGCAAAGACACGGAAACTATAATACTATATAGGACAACATTAATGAAAGTTAGTAAAGAACTAAGGTTCGAAATGAACACGGAGAAGACAAAATATATGGTTAGCTGCAAAATTCTGGTGATATTTATATAGAAGGTTTGAACGCGTAGAGAAGTTAGATATCTAGGGTCTACGATAACAAGAAAAAAGCAAAATTTAAGTAGACATTAAGATTAGGCTGAAGGCGGGAAATCCTTGTTATTTTTCTGTGACAAAATTACTTAGCTCGTCTAATTACTTAAAATTAGAATCTATAAAACCATTATCCTACCTATGGTTCTTTATGGATGTGAAACGTGGCCACTCACATCAAGGGTTGAGTAACGTCTTAAGGTTTTTGAAAATAAATAAAGTATTGCGTAGAATATTCGGACCGAAGAAGGATGAGTTAACCGGAGAGTTCAGATGGTTACACAATGCCGAATTGTATCCAGTTAATATAATTGAGTTGATCACATCATGGCAAATTAAATGGGCTAGTAAAATTGTTGGACATAGTAACGAAAGAATATTCAAGGAAAATTCAATTGAAAACAAGGTTTCCGGTGCAGATTACTGTAAAGTAATCAGTACTAACATAATATTTACTATGTTTATTTATTTACATCCCTGCCGTGCCTGATAGGCAATACGGGTTTTAGCAGCAGTGCGATGTTAAGCGTTTCCGCGTAACACACACTGCTGCTAGAAAAACAATATTTATAGACTGGGTCCATATTTCGACTACATTTCTTCTAAGTTTGGTCACGGATTTCTTCTGCTACTCCGTCCGGCGGCCTTCCAGGCGGTGCAGCTCCTCTTCTTCCCAAGTAGAAATGAGTTGAGCCTATAATGGATTTCCATTTTGCAATGAAATCTATAAAATGAGGATAGTTTTCCTCACTCATGAGTTGAGGAGCTCCCTTTCAGTCAAAATGTAGAGACCGGTTTCCCTGAGCAGTTTTGCTCTCTGTGCCTCATAGGCAGTACATGCTACGACAATGTGCTCGGCAGTCTCTGGGACTCCGCAACTGGGGCACAAGGGGTCGATATTCTTTCCAAATTGGAAGAGCTTTGCTCGGAAGCCCCCGTGTCCAGTGAGTAGTTGGGAGACCCAATAACCAGGTTCCACCCATTTTGCTGCTAACCGGGAACCGATGGTGGGAAAATATTTTCTAAGAGTACTTCCTTTCGGAGTTGTTACCCATCGCTGGTTCCATTCGTCAAGGGTGTACTCTTGTATTATCTTTTTCCATCTACCTGGCTGTTGGTTAATCTTCTCACACGGAGATTTTCTGGTAGACCTGCCGAGCCTTCTCTTGAAAGCTGGTGCTTTAACATGTCTTCCTGCAACAGGAGGTCGAGAGGAACACCTCCTGCCAGGACCTGTACTGCCTCATGAGACACTGTCTTGAAAGCTCTGGTGACGCGCAGCAGAGCCGTCCGCTGAATCGAAGCCAACCTCCTCTTCTGGTTTGCGAGAGATGCAGAAACCAACCTGGGGACGCGTACCTCAGAATACCCAGAACTACACCTTTATAAATTGTCTTAGTCGCTGGGTATCTGAGGCCCCAAAATGCACCCCCGATACGACTGAGTCCATTAAGCGCTAGGGTCACCCTACTTCTCAAATAGTCCAAGTGAGGTGACACGTTGAAATTTCTTCCTATTCTGACTCCGAGGTAGGTGACAACCTCACTCGGACGAATTCTCGATCCTTGGATTATCATTGTAATAGGGTGAGCCCTATCAGTCTTGCCTTTCAAGAGGATAGCCTGTGTTTTAGCAGCTGACATCCGCAGTTTCTTCATCTCGCACCATCTTTCTATCAGGTTGGCGCACCGCTCAGCTTCTTCTTTCAACCTGGCTCTGCTGTTCGACGCCACCACAACGGCTAAATCATCCACAAAAGCTGTGGCGGAGAACTGCTCTTCTTCGAGCACACCCAGCAACTCGTCGAAGACAAGTTTCCACAGAGCAGGGCCAAGGACAGAGCCCTGTGGACAGCCTTTCTCCATACTATCTTCTACTTCGTAGAAATTACCTCTTATTCGGAGCGTTCTATCCTGGAGATAACTTCTCATCAAAATGTACAAGTTGCTAGGAGTCTCGTATTTCTGCAGCTGCTGGAGTACACTTGGCCACCATACGCTATCGAAGGCGGAGGTGATGTCAAACAAGAGGAGCATGACATACTTCTCCGCCTTCTCTTCAACGTCATGGCGTACTCTCAGCAGGGCATCTGCAGTTCCCCTGCCTTTGGTACATCCATACTGCCGTGGATGGGAAGCTCTCGAAAAAATAGGCTGTAGGCTCGTGACCATCATGTTCTCCAACACCTTACTCATAACAGGGAGGAGACAGATAGGCCTATAAGACTTTGCCATTTGTTTATCCTTGTCACCTCCCTTGTAAATAAGTCTGAGATCGGCAATCTGCCGATCTCAGACTTAATATTTACTATGTATCATGATAACACTTTTATTTAATATTAACGAATAATTCAATTAATAAATCTAAATAAAATTGTGAAATTAAATTCTTACGCTCCCTCAAACCAGTTGCAAGATCCTGGTGCTGAGTGTGATCTACCAGTGCAATGCAGTCTTCGAAGGCGCGATTCTAGGGATGAAAAAGGGTTCTAAAAATAAAATTAAACAAAAAGATTAATACCATTGGATCTGATTAATCACTCTTGAATAAATTGTAGTGCATATTATGTTTGACCACAAAATTTAACACATTAGCTGCAGTTACGGTTCCCGGCGTCTATCAGATATAATGATTATTTATGTTTGTATCTACCTATACATCTATACAACTCCCATTCAAATATTTTTTAAAATGACCATTTTAGAGACTTCGTAAGATAGGAAAAGTTTAAAACAATCCCGGCCAAAATCGAGACGAATATCGGAATACAAGGACTGTAACTGCAGCTAATGTGTTAATCATAGAAATTTCTGACTGATTTATAGTCAGAAAAATCATAATGAAACGCACAATTATTGGATATTTTTTATTTGCTAACATTTCAACCCACAATGCTTGTTTTTATCAGGGCTAGATAGATACACAGATTGATTCCTTCATTCTAACTTGACTCACTCCTTAAAATTGACAGTATTTTTCTAACTTTTCAAGACCAACTCCTACATACTTGAGAAGCTCTTCAGCTGTGAGATCATCTACCCTTGGTGCCTTGCAGTTGTTTAGCTTTTCTAACTTCTTAATCATAAAGTGGTTCCACCTATTCTTCTGGTAGAATAAGTCTGTCCTCATTTTGCAACTCATCTCCCTATTTTCCATTAATGATCACAAAATTAATGGTTACAACGGTTTAAATAGGCCTCTTTCTCTATGAGTATGTTGCCATTCAGATCTTTGCAAGCGGTATGGCTAGGCTTAAATGGTTTTATATACCAATTGATCGACTCATAGAATTTTTGCACCTCTTCATCAGCTACTTATTATTTTTAATTAGTAGATTTTAATGTTAACTTTGTCTCTTTTTGGTGAATTAATCAATAAATTCCATTTAACAAACAAAATATAAGTTCAGGTTTAATTCAAATTTGTATTGTTGAAATAAATGAATTGATTTAGTTTTATATAATGTATAGACCTTTTATATGTATGTATCAGCATCATTTTTGAAAATATTATTATGTTTCCTCTTCTTCTACCACAGCAAAGCATGAGCACTTTTCATACCTTTCAATAGAGCTTGATCTATAAATTCCAGTCCTGTACCTGCTTTTCCTCTATGACACCTTCATATATAGCACTGACTATATGATTTTCTGACACTCAGGACATACGTACTTTTTTTTGGTATTTTTAATAGTTCTTCAATAGGACTTATTTCAAGGATCATTCAAATCTTACTGTTTTTCACACAGTCTCTTCTTTCCTTTCCTTTGACCTTCTACAATCTCTCATTACCATTGCTTGTCATGACTCTTGTGTTAGTCTTAAGGGTCCAAGAATCCCTAGCATAGGTCAATATCAGAAGTAATGTTTTATACCCTTTTTTAGTATGCTTTGACTTTCTTTTCTTTTCCAAGAAGCCTTTCTGTGGGGAACTGAATCATCTCTCCTCTATCCTTATTCTTACCTTTTTCTTGCCATCCACTGATCCATCCTCATTTAAGTGGCATTGCTCATCTGTTGTATTATCACTCCACTAAGGATTACTATTCTGTTCAATTGCTTGTTTTTTATTCCTATTCTCATCAATTTGATTTTGTCTTAATTAATTACCATGTTGATTTTCTGTAGTTTTTCTTAGAGAATATGGAGGTTGAATTGGAATAGTTTACAATTTCTCCCAATTACATCTGAAAACACTAGTGTTGTGTACTTTGCCTACCAAAGTATAATGATTATCCGTTTGTAATTTATCTTAAGCAAAGCTGAAAATATCCGTTTATTATTATAAAAATAGAAATATACTAAATTGATCAAACTACTTCAGATTAATTATAATTTTTACACTATATTATAAGCACACACAACATGCAAGCTTATAATTTTAGAGTACCTAGTCAATAGTCATTAATAGTAACATCACCGACTTTGTAACATATAGATGAATTCTTATCAAATATAATAAATAATTAGGAAATAATGGTTCACTATGGATTAACCAAAATTATCTAAGGAAATTATGGCTAGTGGGTTTCAAGAATAGGCAACAAACTCGATCAAAATTGAATCCTGATGTTTTGTGATAATGTACAGGTAATCATTTCAAACTTCTCAGAAAATAAAAAAGGTAACCTCATCAAAAGTACTGAATCTGATCGGAATTTAAACATAGAAGTATTATTTTTAAAAAGTCACAGAACCTGGATCCTTGGCTACAGGTATATTTGGTATATTAAGATAAGACTAATCAAATGTAGTTAAAATTAAAGGAGAAGTGATATGATGATGTGAACTACTCTAGCATGCATAAAGAGATCTTAACAAACTTACTTTGCTTATAATACATCATTAAAGTAGCATTTTTATTTAAAGTATTTAATCAGAAATTATAAAATTCATTTACATTACCCACAGTAAACTAACCTAAGTACTAAGCAAAAGTTGAAAAGTCCTTAATTCATAGGCAAATTTTACAAAAATAATCAATAGCTCACTCAATCATCAGACCAATTTAATTAGTTTATAATAATTTGTTTCAATTTTTTAGGTAATGTTAAAATAAAAAGTAATATGATTCGGTAAAAATTGATAACTGTACCTGAGGTGAGAACACAAGTTTGATGTTTCAGAAAACATCTGAAACTAGGAGACAATGCATGCAAACACACTAGCAATCGAAAATTAAAATATGGGATGATAAAGGTATAAAATTTGAAAAATACATTAAACATAAAGAATGACTTTACTTGAAAAGAGTGCTTTTTGAGCATAGCTTTTATCAGTATGAGAGTATCCAACTTAGGAATAGATGTTACGCCATCTCTGATTTCTTCTTCACTTACTTCAACTAGTTGACAATTTTCACTTTCTGAAGGAAGAATAAAGGTACCATTCTTGGTCATCCATGGGTGTTTCTGAAAATTATGACAAAATTATAATGGAACCATTTGCAATAAGTACAAACAGAAATTTGATTTATCATATGGAAACAGTTTAAAACTGTAGAAAAGGTATATTGATAAAAGTAAAATTAGAATCTTGACAAACATTTATTTAGGCTTTTTGAATTAGTAACTTTTAACAATTATCTGGAGTTTTTGCTTTAATCATTGATAAAGAATTAAGTAAGGTTTAAGAAAATTGAAAACAGTAAACATTTCTGATCAGTCAGTTTTGTTGAAACTCTATATCTTGAATTTTTAAGATGACTGAACTTGATTCTGAGATTATATTTTCAAAATTTAAAATGATCACTATAATAAAACAAAAATAATCTTAAAACACTGTCAACAAAATAAACAAATGAAGTCAGAAAAAATCTAAAATGTAGAATTTCATATTATACCTTGTTATGATATCAAGATCATCAATGGAACCAAGTAACTGAATCTTTTGTTAAAAATGGTGTCTGTAACCTTGATTCTTGAATGCTCAACTGTTTTTACAATAACAGAATTGAAAAAAGGGCAATCCACATACCTTACTTTATAAAAAGAAAAACACATCTCAATCATCAAATCAAATCAATCCTGGAAAATTTCCCTACTTCATTTCAATGTTGAAATAATGAAAATAGTTTATTATAAATTATAAGTGAGCTTATCTTAATCAAAACTGGTACTGATACAAACTACATAAACTTTTTTTTAAAAAATCATCGATTATTTGCAATTAAACTAGTACCATTACCTTCCATTTTGCCAATAAATTATAGTCTAATCCACTTGCAAACAAACAGAATTTATAAGCTGGTAGAAAACCTGAACACTTCACATGCAATAATGAAATAATGTAATTCTCTACTTCTTCGAAACTGGAGTGACTAACAATGAAATGAAGCCAACATTGTGGACGATGCATACACAGTAACTAATGGTTATAAGGATAGTATTAACTGGTTGGTAAAACTGAACACAGGTTTTTTATTATGATTAATTGATTTTTTTTTACCCTGGCTCTAATCGGTTGTTTGTTGAACTAGGATGTTTGTTTTTCGGTAAGGTAGGAATGCCACGCTCTAGACCTGGCGTCGCAAAAGGATGATAGCTCGATGGGATTGCTGATAGGTGGGTGATCAGGAGTTACAATGTTTGTTAGAGGTGTGGGGTTGTTAGTCTTATTTTTAAAAATGGTTTTAAATTTATAATAGTAAAATAATATATGGTGAATAAACAGATATATACATATTATCAAAGTAAGATATAACATAATGTCAGAATGAGTAATTACAGAATAATCTTCTAAAGGTTCTATATTTAGAGTTCCTAAGTCTAATTTATTTACATCATCGTAGCTATAATTAGTAAAAATAACATTATCAATATTATACATAGATATTATGGGTATATTTACATGTTCTTCGTATCGAATAACTATAGATTTATTTACAAATATTTCATTTCTGTCAAGGCTTATTAAACCAGTGATTGGTAAATGATATAACATGGTTTCTGTTATGTTAGTTTAAATAGTAGATAAATTAAAAGTGAGATATTGATTAAGGCTAGGTATAAGTTTAATAAATGTTTTTGTGAAATTCCTATTATTTTACAATGTTCTAATTTTTGGTTGTTACTTAATTCTAATATACACTTATCTTCTACTAAACTAAGACTTTTGTAATTACAATAAAAGTTGGAATTATATTTTAAACATTGTCCTTATGAAACTGGTTATTATGTCTTATACTAAAGTATTTTCAACTGGAATAGTTACAATATTTTCCTTATAAATAATGGGATATGACAGTATGTAATATGTAGTCGAAGGGGCAACCCTTAGTGGTAATTTAATAAAGAAATAAATCATCCCGAATCGGACATTGAACAAATTGCTTTACTTAATAACCAATTTAATTCTACGTCTCTTGTTAGTAAATTTTTATATGGAGTTTTGATATTTTTAATTTCGTCATACGATAAAATGCTGGGGTGTGTCATGCCTAGTTTACATTGTTCTAATGCGTCTTCTGTTTCTTGTAATTGTGCCTCTATGAGAGTTAAATATGCTAAAAGGTCATGGTATGATAATTTGATGATTGTGGAATCTAATACTTTATTATTGGTTTCTATATTATTTTTGAAGTTATTTAAAATGATAATATCTTTATTTAATTCTTGTGTTAACTTCCGGTTGAGGCTAAGCCTAGCTTCCTCGTTATGTTCTATGTGATATAAATTACTTTCAACCTTTTGTAGGATGGTGTCATATTTTTCTTTGTCATCTGCATCCATAGTTCCCGTTAACCAACTGAGAGCAGATCCTAAACCATTAATTATACCACGTTTTTCTCTTTTTATATATTTACGCTTAATAAGGTGGGTGATTTGGTTAGTTATTCTCTCATACCTCTTATCTAATATTTGATGCAGCATTTTAAATTCTTTTTCTGTCTTTAAACTATTAATATGTGTTTTTATTGTTGTGATTTCATCATTTAGTTGAGATAGATTCTTGTAATGTAGGAAAGTGTACCATTCCATCATCACATACGACAAATTCATTTGAATGATCGAAGCCCCCAGGGCCATTCGACAGCGTCTGGATTTTCAACGTTTCTACCTGGAGGGTCCGAGCCAGAAGAATTAAGATCAGAAGAAACTTGAAACAGTCCTTCATCTTCAAAATCTGCAACAGGAAGATTATTGGGATTAACCCTCAAATCCTGAATTCGTTTTTCGATTTCTTCATTTAATTTTTGGGCGTACACATTATCTGCTAGGCACTCATTCTGATTTGTGCCTTGAATGGTAGTAGGTTTTCCTGAATCGTTTTTCTTTTTCCTGGGTCTTTTTATTTGGCTTGCATGTAATTTTTCTTTTTACCCTTAGCGGTTTCAAATTTGCCATTAGATTGTTTACCTTTTTGATATTTTGGATCTTTTTTATTGGAACTGGGTTTTCTAATAAAAACTTCTTGTGGTAATTTAGGGATATCTTCTCTAGTTTCATTTCTTTTGTTTATATCTTTCTTTATTTTTTTCTATGTTTGCTTTTATAGCTTCTCTGGTGTTTCTAAGTTTTTCATGATATTCTTGAACCAAATATTCCTGAACTTCTGGATTTCATTGTAGTTGTCTCTACCGATTCCAAATGTTATTTCGTTCGGACTTAATTTTAAGTCTTGGTTCATTGAATTGTTATACGCGATTGTTGCTAGTTCTAATTTTTCTTCTTCAGGCGCGGTGGATTGAGTATTTATTATTTTGATTAAGTCTATAAACGTTGAGCTTGCTCTATTAAGTAATCCTAACGAATTTGGATGGTTAGGTGTTGTCTCATGTTTTTCAATTTTTAAATATTTTAAAAAGTCTCTAAATAAATTGTTGTCGTATTCACGGCCATTATCTGTCGTGATTACCAATGGTTTTGGGAAATGGACCAAATATTTCCTCAGTGTTGCCATTGATTCAATAGCGTTTGGAGTTTCGCTATATCTTGTGAATATCTTTTTTGAGAAGGTGTCCGCTATTATATAAACGTAATAATTTCTCATATGGAGTGTGTCCATCATGATTGAATCGAAAGGTTTTTCAGGTGTTGGTGTAATCATAAATTTAGGTCTAATAGGTCGTCTGTCATATTTAATTGAATTACATGTATCACAAGCATTAATGATATCGGTGATATGGTCTTTCATATTTGGCCAATAATATTTGGTTTTCAATTTTAAATATGTTTCATTTATTCCCCTATGGCATGATTTTCCGATATGCTGATCTAAAATCAACTCTTTTTGTTGGGTTTTGTCAGTTATGTCTGGTAATAATAAAGAGTATTTCTTTATTCTATTGGTCGGAAATTTTTCTCTGATAATGTCTGTGACTTTATTATACAATCCTTCGTACCAGTTGGTCTCACTCTCAATTCCTTGGATTTTGGGAAGACAATAAACGCCATAAGTTGTATTGGGTTTTAGTATTTCCAATAACTTCTGTTCTAGTTGTTCTCCGTTTTGGTTATATGGATAAGTTAGTTCTAAAATAATTCTATTTTTATTAAATACTTTTTCTATCTTAGCCTCATTAAATCCCTTCATGATGACTAATTGATTTTTCTCTACATTGACAGGTCTTTGACCATCGTCGACGATAAGGATCCTGTTATCTGAAGACTCGGCAGAGTGTTGGGTATCTAGAGATGAGTCATCCTCTTCTGCATATGATACATGTCGAACTCGGGTGTCTCTGAAACATGCTTGTCAACTGGATGTCGCGACAAGTGGTCAGCAACCTTGTTCGCTTTACCCTCGATGTGCTTGATATCATATTCGTAGTCTTCTAGAAGCAGTTTCCACCTGATAAGACGGGCGTTTTGTGTTTTGCAAGTCTTAAGATATTCGAGTGGCTTATGGTCAGTGTAAATAAAAAATTTTCTGCCGTATAGATAAGGCCTAAAATGGTTACATGCCCAAATTATTGCTAGGCACTCTTTTTCTGTTGTAGAATAATTTTGTTCGGCTTTATTTAGTGTTCTAGATGCAAAACAAATTGGTAATTCTTTACCATTTTTCTTTTGAGCAAGTACCGCTCCTATGGCGTAATTACTGGTGTCAGTTGTTAAGTAGAAGTCTTCTCCAAAGTTGGGTACTTGAATTATGGGACTACTACATACTAAGGTTTTTAGTTGTTCAAATGCTTCACGATAGGAATCAGGGTTTATTTCGTTTTCTTCCTTACGCAGGCATCTTGTCATAGGTGAAGCTATTTTTGCATAGTTAGGGATCATTTTTCTATAGAATCCTGTCAAGCCTAGAAAACTTTTTATTTCTTTTTCTGTTTTAGGTAATTTAAATTCCTTGACTGCTCTTATTTTATCTGGATTAGGTTCTATTCCTTTTCACTTATTATATGGCCCAAAAACAATAGTTCTCTTTTACAAAATTCCGTTTTGTCAAGTTGGATTTTAAGATTATGTGTTTTCAATTTTTCTAAAATAGATTTTAGGTGTTTTAAGTGGTCGTTGAAGGTTTCAGAAAATATAATAATGTCATCCATGTATACCAATACATGTGGCATATCCGAAAATATAATATTCATCGCCCTTCGGAATGTTGCAGGGGCGTTACATAACCCAAATGGCATTCTTAAGAATTCGAAATGTCCTTGGTCAGTACTGAATGCAGTTTTATGAACTGAATCCTTATCAACCTTAATTTGATGAAAACCAGAGCAAAGATCCATTGCTGTAAAAATAGTGGCTTTACCTAATTTTCCGAGTAAGTCTTCAATATTCGGCAGAGGGTATCGGTCTGGGATCGTTTCACTGTTGAGTTTTCTGTAATCGATCACCATTCTTATTTTCTTCTGCCCTGATGCATCGGCTTTTTTAGGAACTACCCAAACGGGTGAATTATAGGGTGAGTTACTGGGAGTAATTATTTTGTTTTCTTCCTGAGCTTCCCCGGGCTTCCTCATATTCCCAGAATTGATCAAATCTTCAAATAGAAGGTGATTTTCATTTTGTATAAGATTCCGTAGGTCATCAAGAGTTTTTAGACCGGCTTTAGTCATCAAATATGTCCTAATATGTAGAGGCATATTTGTGAAAAAGTAGTATAATATATGTTTCTCTAACGCGGATACTATAGTTGCTCTTTCCGGAGTGTTCTGAATTCGGTATTTGGAAATAATTAGTGTTCGACTTCTGTCTAATCGTTGAAGGAAATCTAGAGAGTGTTCTTTATGACGAATTCTTAAATTAAAGAGTTCAAATGTTAGTTGTTCAATAGAACGAGAATCCCTAAAAGTATTTTCTAAATATTGTAAAAGTTCAGTGACCCCAGTGAATTCACACGTCGTATTAATGTAGTCAGCGTCTCCTGTAAGTCTAGCTAGGATTTTACTGAGTAAGCGTTGGTCATTCAGTTCGCGGAGGTTGTTATCGGGTTTGCAGACTATATTGTAAACCTGTCGGCAAACGGTTACAAATTTAAGCAAATTATGTGGAACCCCATTGAATACTGGAATATGGTCATAATCAGCGGATTTAATTGCAAAAGTGGTTGCCATTTCGTCTAAATTATTACAGTCGTTAATGCGAATAGATCTAATTTGTTCCAACCTTTCAGCTAATTTACTCATAAAATTGTTAGTACATATATGTTTATAACAATATAATAATATAAATGTTAATTTATAGATATAATAAAAAAAATTATATAATTTAAATATTAATAAACCAGAAAATAATAAAAATTAAACAAATTTAATGAGTTTTGATGATTTCAAATAAAGTAGACTCACAATTTTCTTCCAAGAGTTTCGATGTCTGTCGGGGTGATCAGACGATTTCAGCTCAGCAGCAGGTCCTTCTTCAAGATCTAAGAGTCAGAGCGGGGTGCCAGCCTCTTACAGGTGTGATATCCTCGAAAGGTAGATCAAATCTTGATTTCTGGTACTGCAGAGTTCGAGTCTAGAACCGCGATGAAATATGCATGCGGTCCCTGTTCGGGCGCCAATTATGAAACTCAACCGCCGAAAAGTGAAAAAAAACTTTATTGAGAAAACAAATCAAACAATGAACATTATGACATGCTAAGTACTACTGATACAGATCTCTTGCTTACTGACTAGCCTAGGATTTTATGGGGGTATATATAGGTAGAGGAGAAGGAGGCTGCTCAGAATGTCAAGTCAGCATAGTTCGTTTCCATAACTCATGTTTCAGTAATATTAAAAGTATACATATCACCCATTTTTAATAATTACTAAATAATACATTCTAATATCAAAATATACATAAATTTTTATAAGAATAAAATTTGAGGGAGAAAAATAAATATACTACCTACATATATATCTTACCTTTATATTACTGAGAGATATTCTTTGCTCTGGATCTTTGGTAAGCAGTTGAATTATGAGGTGTTTTAATTCTGAAGATATAGAAGGTGTTTCAGGAAACTCAAGGTTTTCAGTTCTAATTTTTTGATATAATATTGGTAAACTATCAGCTTCAAATGGTAATTTTCCAAAAACAAAGCAGAATAATGTAACACCCATGGACCAGATGTCATAAGCCTTAAAAAATAACAAACTCAAATTAAAAAAAAACTTAAATACATGAAAAATCTAGATCTAAGTTTGAAATCAATGGATTTCTGGTGTGAAAAAAGTTAACTAATTAATATCAAGCCAAAACTTTTTGAGTTGTTACCAGAATTGTTACCACAGACCTACAGGAAAAAAAATCAAGGTAAAATTTTAGGATTTTTCGTGTTGACAACACCCAGTTTTTTTTTTCCAAATCATTAATCAAATTTATATCACTTTTAACCAATCAAATTAAGAGAATTAACGTTCAACTAACAAGTAAAGTGCTATAAAATAGAAAAACATGATAATCAATTGTTAAACAAGAAACAATAAAAAAAAATGGTTTAAAAATTCTTTAAATGGTTTGAAGAAAGACAAACTTTCTTAACAGTTGAAGGAAATTTTGTCTATTTTAATAGGAAACAATTGTTAACAACCAGAATTAAACATTTTATTAGTTATCACTACTTAATCAGCAATTACTTAACAGTTACTTAAACAAAAAGATACCAAAACTTAAATTTCCTACTTCTTTTTGCAAAAAAATTGAACCATGTTTTATCTAAATATTTTTGTAAGTAAAGAATTCTGACCTTCTGGTAACTCTGCCACCTAGATATAGCTGTAGATCCCAAACCCTAGTAAAGGAGGTGGGTTCCATTATAGCCTGAATGAGTATATTCTTAGGACTGAAACAGCGTCTCAGGTCAGTAGCGGTGGTATAAAATCCTCCCTGAGAAGTAATGGGAGATGGGAGAGCTGGCCTGACAGCTCTAAAGGAGGCAATTCCTCCATCAGGATCTGGGCACAGTAGGCTCATAACTTACTTGGCCGAGACTCATCTTATGAAACAAACTACAGAGTATAGAGCCGATCAGTTTTCAAGGATTAAGACATGGCGTGGAAAAAGGATTATACAGTTTGGAGCATGAAACGTTAAAGGCATTAATGGAAAGGAAGTAGAGCTGGTGGAGGACGTAAAGAAAGCAGGAATCACCATATTGGGAATTACAGAAAGCAAAAAGAAAGGAAGAGGAGGAGCAAATCGGAGATTTAGTGTTGCTTTACTCAGGAGTGAACCACATTGAGCATGCTAAGAGCGGGGTAGCTTGCATATTCCACAAAGACATATCCATGTTCATAACAGAATGGAAAGCTATAAATGACAGATTATTATCTATCAAATTCTTATGGGACAACAAGCTCTAATACATACTGTTTATTGCCTATGGACCAAATAACAATGCACCTGCTGCAGAAAAAGACATATTCTTTGAGACATTGCAAAGATAAATAGACAATAGCGATGGAACCCCAATTATTATGGGATACTTAAATGGTAGGGTTGGTAATGACGAAAAAGTATGGCAGAGACCCTTAGGATGAAATGGTAAAGAACATCTCAACGACCCAGGAGAACGAATCTTGAACCTAATCTCAAACCTAGTCTCGCAAATGGAATTATCGTAGCAAATAGCATATTTCCCCATAAAAGAATACACAATATACAAGAGTGGAACCAGGGCGAAAACGAAAAATCAATAATAGATTATTTTCTCATACCAAGGGAAGAAATCAACAAAACAATAGATGTTAGGGTCAAGAGAGGTGCAGAAATTGGCAGTGATCACATGCTTCTGAGGATGGACATCAGTCTGAATAAAGTTTTGCTAAAGAAAGGCATCAAAAAGAACAAAAGATAAATGCCTAAAAATTGAAAAACAAAGAAATGGGAACTGCCTAGAAGAACATAGACCATAATAAAAGAAAAGGTTCTGAGTGGAATATCCCCTTATTGCAATGTTCGATAAGTTGTTTTGTTTAATTTCCGAACCTATTCTTCCACTAACATTCCTCAATTCAGACATTTATAACCTACGCTTATTTACATTACTATTCTGTTTATTTTTTCTCTCTGTTTGTTTTACTTATAAACGTGTAAGGATTTTCTCTCTTGTACTTTTATTTTTAATTATGTAAATATTTAATTTAACATTTCACACTTCAGATATTTATAATACATGTTTTTTTATATCACTATTTTTTTTCTCTCTGTTTGTTTTATTTATATATGTGTACACTTTTTTTATCTCTTGTACTTTTATTTTTAATTACCTACCATTATGTAAATATTTCATTTCAATTTTTTTTATTTTTCTCTCTATTTGGTTTATTAATATAAGTATAATCCCAGAATAAAGTTTATTTTCTATCTATCTATCTATCAAGTTGTTTTTTTCTCAGTATTTTTATTTTCTATAATACCTATTGAATCAACCGATTCCGGATGAATTGTGATTTTTTCGAGCAAATTGCTTGAGAGTACAATTCTTTCAGAGGAATTGACTCTTTGATTCTCGATTCACCTGCCCAACTCTAGTAGATAACACAATGATTTCAAAACGTTTGAAAGCATTAGGAATGATCCAGAAGCAAGACCATAGGGTGCCATAAGAGTTGAAGCCGAGAGATGTTAAATGTTTTCTCATGTAAGAACTGCTGTTTTACTGGCAGAAATGGAAAAGATTTTGCATTGTATCATGACAATGGTAAAAGTGATGAAAAATGGATGCAATATGATAATTCTAAGTTAAAAAAATCCTGGGGTAAGCCAGGCCATGTGTCAGCGTGCATACTGGCGCAAAGCAAAATATCCATAAATCGAAGCTTCTCCTCTGCATTTGGTGGGATCAGCACGGTATAATTTATTATGAGCTGCTCAAACCAAACAAAACTATTACGGATGATCGCTATACAATTGATGCTTTTGAGCCAAGCCCTAAAAGAAGAATCTGGTGCACGCAACACACAACTTTCACTTACCGATCTACTTTGAATAGAAATGATTTTCTGGCAATGCTGGGCTATTATAAAATTTTTTGAAGTGTATTTTAAACGGAGCTAAAGCTTACAGATAACAAGTCATTAAGACCATTATAATTACAAAATGTCTATTTAATATATCGATTTTTTTGTTTTTTTTTTAGGAAATTCCATAAACTTTTAAAAAAACATATACAATATCTTTGAAACATTTTATCACAATATCGACAAAAAAGTGTATACTTTTTGAGTTATTCGGAATTTAATTTTAACATCCCTTGTAACTTTTTTTCCAGCTTCTTTTTGTTGAAGTATGTTATATAGATAAATTTAAAGGGTATCGAGAAAATGACTTTAGCGAAGTTTCATTGAAATCGGTACATTCGTTTAGGCGCTACAGTCTGTAGGAACGCAGGTTTTTCTGCATTTTTATTTTTTATTCTCCTTTATTAATTTATCAAATTCTTTCAAAAGCTATATGTAGCATTTTTTCGTAATTCTGAATAATGTGAAATGGTTAACTTTTTAAAATAAACCATATGAAAGGTACTTTAGAGGAAGACATATATGAATATTGGGCATTTAAGCCCTGTAAAGTGACATCAACGGGGATAAGACCTAAATGATATTAAAGACCACTTAATTATACAATGATACACCGAGTTTGATCAAAATCGTTAAAGTCGTTTTTGAGAAAATTGTAAAAATAATATGTATTTCAGCGTTCATATAAAGTAGCACTTCCAGTTAGCCGGCCCATATACAAACCTTAAATCCTTAATATCAGTTCCGTACTACTTTTCGTTTAAGAGCTAGACTGTTAACACACACACACACACACACACACACACACACACAGACCATTTTGCGACACTTGGTTATTTGAACTCAGGGGATCTCAAAACATGTATTTCTGTTGAGAACTGAGATTCAAAAATTTTCATGATCGCAGTACTTACCCTTACTATATATTACATATATACGTAAGTGAAAGTAAAAATGGCTCCTATACAAGCAGAGACAGGACAAGGTCATTTTATTACATGGTAACACTTAGACAAACGTAGGGAAACCAGTAAAAACTTATCTGGAAACGCATAAATTGGAAGTCTTGCTCCACATACTGCATTAACCGAATATAGCTTCTTCTGATTATCACTTATGTTATTTGATGGCATATGGCCTGGCTGAGCAGCACTTCCATTCTTATGAAATGGAATTCATATGCCCTCAGAAAGGTGGGAGAAAGTATTAGCTATTGATAGGCAAAACTTCGAATAACATTTTTTTTACCATTTACTATAAATAAAACATTAATTTTCACAAAAAAAAAGGGTGAATTTATTCAAGCTCCTAATATAATTGTTATTTTAGTCCAGTTGGTTTATAAACTGATCTCTATAACTAATAATGTTAAATAATTGGTACGATATTGAATAATTTAAATACTGTAATTCACCTCTTATTGGATACCTTATAAAAAAAAATGATAAAATTTTATGAAATATAATTTGATAAAAAATCCAACAAAAATTATAAGTATCTCTCTGGCATACAAATAAAAATATAAGACTCTTTGAACAAAAAGCAATAGAAAAATCATCTTTAATAGTTCTTTTTAGATTTATTTAAATAAAAAAAAGTAACATCCTTCTTCATTAGTTTTTTAATTTATGCATTAAAATGAAATCTGATTATCTGGAGTTATAGCTTCTCCACCACTATCTCTCGATACTGGAAGTTCCATAATAATTATATTAAAAATAATGTGATTAAGAAATAAACACCTTGCCACTAAAATGGGTAGTAGTGGATATTGCTTCAGGAGCTGTAAATGCTGGTGTTCCTGCAGAGTTATTTAAGCAAGCATCGATGCCATCAAATTCATTACAAACTCCAAGATCTGCAATTTTCACATGACCATTTTCACCAAGTAAAATATTGGATGGTTTGATATCGCGATGAATTATTTTTTGGAAGTGTACTGAAAAAAAAAAAAATTTAAAGGTTTTAATGATCACCATATAGTTGATATTAAAAGTGAATCAATTATTTCAGAAACAACACTTGACAATTCTACTAGATTTTGAGTTGAGAGTGGGTACATTGTTAATAAATGCATCTTCTAACAACATATATTTTTTGATGATTTTTATCTTACAAAATTATAGTATAAACTAGTTTTTCTCCTTGATTTCGCGATCATGAAGATGTCACATATAATGTTTTTGAAATAACTGATTCAATTATAATAAGTATTATTTCTCAATTTTTAGATAAAATAACTTAAAGGTTAAACTTTTACTGGAAAAATTCTCTGGGTTAACTTAAAATACATCGATAAGGAGAAAATATGTAAAACAAACAAGCACATCTTAACTTAAATTTAAGAAGTACTTTATCTTAAACTTTAAGTATCGATACGGAATTTCATAAATACACACATACAGCCTCAGCATATACAAATATATAATTAAAAATACAATTATTGATAAAATAATTACAATGATAAATTATAAATCAAACTCACAATATTCAAGACCTAAAACAATGTCTCGGAAATACTCCCAAGCTTGATTTTCAGCTAAAGGTGTTTGTGTTGGTAATGTTATCACTTCCCCACCATGCAAAAGCTCGAACACTGAAAGGAAAAATATAAAAAGGTCAATTAATAACTTGAATTTATAAATGAATAAACTTATGTTTGCATTAAATAAACTATAATATAACTTTTCTTCAATATATCTACGACAATCAACTATCAATCCACTATTATAATATAATTTAAATAGATTTTATAATAGGAAATATTTATTTACAGGAATGATTGGGAAGAACATGTTAGGGATGTAAATATTGAAAAATATATTAATATATACAGTATTAATATTATTAAAATATGTCACAATCCTATAAAAAGAATTTACATTTTCATTGAAAAATTCAAAGATATAAAAACAAATTAATTAATAAAATATCTCTCAGGTATTATTTTGAATGAATATTTTTATTTGTTTTCGGAAAATGTCCCATACAAATAGAGTTGGCTATAATAATAAATTAATATTAAACATTTTACAACTAATGTAAAAATAATTCAAAAACAAAAAAAAAAAGGAAAGAATCGGTGGCGAATTTCCACATGACGACAGGACACAAATTTACATAGGCTTGGAGTGATTGAAAACCCTGTGTGCCCTCTTTGCCAACAGGGCGAGATGTATGACCTGCACCTCCCAATTTGCCCCACTCGGTCAGATTTCTGCATTAATTCTAATGGGATCGGCACAAATTCAAGCAATGGAATCATGGTGGAATTGTATGGGGCTGCCAGGAGCCGAATGGCCTAATAATAATGTTAAATAAAAAAAAACATTACAGATATTTAAACAAAGTGATATTCCTTAAAAAATTGTGAATAATTATATTTTCAATGATCCCACATATAATAATGCCCATTAAAAGTAAAATATGGAATTGAAAAAAATATATACCTAAATATAGATTATCTTCTATTGGGTCATCTAACACTTCAATCAGTTTCACAACATTAGGATGATCAAGCTTCTTTAAAACAGCAATTTCTCGATGAACTTTTTCTAAAGGATTAATTTCCTTGCGATTAGGATTTTGCCTACCTAAAATTAATAACTATGAAATTAATGAATTTTTTTAAGAAAATAAAAATAAATCAATGAAATCTTAACTATTATAAAAAAATAATGTTATAATTATAAATTACAAAAAAAAAAAAGAAATATAAAGGATAATCTTATAAAGTAGGTAAGATTATAATATATTATCGAAAATGAAGAACATTTTATTAAATTTTAAACTTATTTGACGATCATAAGGTAATTTTTATAAAAATTGTACACAATAATTTGTAATAAAATATGTTTTTGGCCAGTTTTTATTTGAATTTTTTTGAGTTACAAAAAAATAATTATGGAACGTATGGTTAATGATTGTTACCTAATTACGTGATGAATAATAATAAGTTTTATCATGATATGTTTTATCAATGATAATTTACTGAGAATGGTGTTGCAAATAGTCGTGACCAGTGACTAACCTACAACATGCCACTGCTATTGCTCCAGGTAAAGTCAGTGATGGTCACTTTTTAGGAATCGAGCAAAGATTCCATAGATTGACCATAGCAAGCAGTGCTGCTTTTGAATCTGCCAGCAACATCTGTAATTTTTCCCAATTACAGTACAACCTTTTCATCAAAATTTGTGGAATTTTTCTTATCAGATGCTGAAAGTTGGAACAGGATTCTAAAAGAACTGTATAAGTAGTTGCTCCATTAGCTGATCTGTTAATGAAAATTTGAACCCATTTTGGCTTAGAATAGCGTTCAGCTATAATGACTAATGTCACTGTTCTTCGTTCTTCCACAGGAGCCAAGAATTTTTTCGTAAGTGCAAACTAAGTTTAGCATAGCAGGTTCAAACGGTTTGCTTAGATAGGTCTGGTTGAGGCCTACTTCTTTCAAACCTCAAATCTGGGTTTAAGATAATAGATATTGTCATATGACTAAATGTCACTATGCACAAATAAAGTTGTCCATTCAAATCTAACTCAGTAAATGATTGTAAATTTTATTTGTACTCATTAAAAGAAAAACAAAGATCAATATACACTTTAGGTTATTTAAATTGACATTTTATTGCATAATAATTTAATCACGAGCTTATAAAAAACTATTAATAACAGAAATAAAGTTACATACCAAATACTCCAGCTTTTCTAAACAACTTCTTCTTTGATAAAATTTTCATAGCCTGTAAATAAAACAAACAGAACTATAGCAAAACTTCATACACCAATTCACAATGTGATAATCAAATAACTTACATAATGAGTGTCATCTTCAGCATTGTAAGCTAGCTTGACAAGACCATAAGAGCCCTGAAAATAACAAATATCAACAAAACGAATATCAAACAATAGTAGAATATCAGAGTATAAATAATTGAATGTTAAATCAGAAATGCCACATGTAACATTTTCATGATTTTGATAAAAAAACAAAATAATATTTTTACACTAAAATGTTTATAGAATATATATATATATATTACACTAAAATATGTGTCTATGAATAATGTACCCAACTCACAACTCAAAAAATTGTAAAAATGATAAATGTGTTGTTTCTGAAATAAACGATTCAATAGTAATTGATAATCACATCGTAAAACTAAATATCAGTCATAACTATTTTTTTTATTTTGTTCATTATTGTTATTCTGGGGGGACTGTGTCCCAGAATAAAGTTCCTTTTTCTATTTCAACTAAATATTAAAAAAATAAATAAATTAAGATTTCTTATTTAAGTATTATATTTAATACTTAGTAAACTATAATTAATGTTGCTTATTCCATAGATAAATTATATTAAAATTCTCTGAGAAACAAAGATCAAATGAGATCTCCCAGTAGAAGGAGAAAAACATCGATTGTATCAACATTTCAGCTTCTCAGAGATACTCAATTAAAAGAATGATTCCACCTAGCAAAATGCACCATTTATCAAAGTAAAACTAAAAAACAATCTGGCAAAGTATCTATTAATTAATATTAAATCTTCTGAGACCCCTGAGAATATGAGAGAAAATATCAGGCAGGAATTTTGAGGATAACTAGTCAGCTACTATTATATTGTTTTACGAGGGTGGACCCAAAAGTAACGGGAATTGAGCTACAGTGGGAAGAGAGAGTAAAGGAGCCCATTGCTTGATCCGGTGTCCGTTAGGGAAACCTCTGCTGAGTTAGTGTGCGAAGTTGTGTTGCTGTGAATGCATCAGTTTCTCTGTGAGAATTTTTTTAGTGAAAAAACTTGTTCCATTTTTCTGAAAACGTGATGACTGATAGTCGAGAGCAACACGTGGCTGTGAAATTTAGTTTTCTGTTGGGAAAATCAGTCGCGGAAACTATTGTAATGCTTAAACTGCTTTTGGGGATGCTGCCCTAATTGAACTAGAGTCTACGAGTGGTTTTCATGTTTTAAAAATGGAGTAATGTCGATTGAAGACCAACCCTGTGCAGGACGCTCCTCAGCATCAAGAAGTGACAAAAACGTTGATGAAATCAATCTTCTCGTTCGTGAAGACCATCGCTGAACCATTGATCAACTCTGTGAGTTGTCTGAAATATCATGGAGTTCAATCCAGAGGATTTTATCCGAAGATTTGCACATGAGAAGAGTTGTAGCCAAATTTGTCCCTTGCCTTCTCACAGGCGAGCAAAAGAAGTGTTGACTTCGGCCATGTTTTGAGTTTCAAAATCAGCTCAAAGAGGAACCTGAATTTTTTTTCAAGGTGATTACTGGTGATGAATCGTGGTGTTAAGGATACAACCCCGAAACAAAGCAGCAATCAAGCCAGTGGAAGACAGTTGGCTCTCCTTGTCTCAAAAAAGCTTGCCAAGTGAAGTTAAACATCAAGACAATACTCATTTGTTTCTTCAATTACAGAGGTGTTGTGCACACAGAGTTCATTTCTCCTGGTCAAACTGTCAACCAGAAGTTCTACTTGGAGGTTTTGAAAAGATTGAGGAAGAGGATCCGGAAGAAAAGGGCAGATCTTTGGGGCACAGGCGACTGGTTCTTCCATCATGACAACCTGCTGACCCACACCGCCCTCTCCGTAAAGCAGTTTTTCACCAAAAACGGCATGACACCAATTATCTTCATCCCTACTCACCGATTCTAGCCCTCTGTGATTGTTTTTTTTGGTCTCCAGACTCATAAGGGACACGAGAGGAAAGCGTTATGCCACTGTGGAGGTAAAACAAAAATCGCTGGAAGGCCTGAAGAACATCCTGACAAGTGACTTTAAAAAATGTTTTGAACAATGGAAGGATAGTTTGGAGAGGAGCATTGGGGTCAAGAGAGAATACTTAGAAGGTGATCAAAATTCGGTGAAAAATATTAAGAAGAAATACAGAAGTTATGATGAAATTCACGTTTTTTTTTTGGTCCCCTCGTAGATCACAAAAACTGAAATTAAGGTTGATCATATAATCTCTGCTACCAAGTTCATTGAGAAATATCTAGAATACAATTACTCTCCTAACCTTTGTTGTGTTTATTAAAGAAAGATTTGAAAAGCATTTTACATTCTACTATATTCATAACAAATATTGGTATTGAAGATAAATATATTATAAGCTGAATCCTGTACTATATAACAAACTATCATTACAACAATGAGAAATGTATGTTAACATAAGAATCTTTTTATTTTATTTTTTCCTTGTACCAGAAGTATGTTCTGTAGTAGCTCAACTTAACATATATGCCGTCATTATTTTTAAAATAAGACCTTATATTCTCAAGCAATGGGTATGCATCGATGAGCTCTTCACTTAGCTCTCTAATGCAATTATGGGAGCAGTCTAGATAATATACAACTCTGATCCAATGCAAGTGTTTCTCCAGGAGGTTAACTCGAAGCAGGGAGTTTAGGAGTCATCCAAAGAAAGTCAACAAAAAGGAAAACTTTTTTTTATGATATATCTTAATTAGTTCCTCAACAGAAACCTAAATTTCTGTGACCTTTCCCTAAAAAGAGTGTTTTCTGGAACAGTAATAATAAGTTCTGATCTGTATCCCATGACAGGGTGACCATAGGATTTGTAGGTAAGACTTAATACATATTTTGCTATAGCCACTTTAGTGCATATCAACCTTTAAGAATTGCTAACCTCTTGGTTTCCCTGGCTAACCATCCCTTTACCTAACTCATGGATTGTAGACTTAGTAGATAACCTGTTCTCTTTAAACCATCCTATCACGAAACTTGCTAGAAAGCTACAACGATCAATTGGAAAGACTTCATGTCCACCCAATAGAATTTAAATTTGGACAATAGAAACATTTTATCTATATATAAACAGGGAACTAAACATGAGTTCCTGATCCAACTATACTCTTATAAGATCATAGAAGCTGCTATCCAGAAAGTGAGATAGACAGGCCAAGAGTCTCTTGCTAGAAAAAAACACAATCTACTTTAGTTGGGATGACTAGCACCTCTTATCTTGAACTGGCTTCATTGTTGGAAAAAGGATGACCTAATATTATTCTTATTTGGTTCTTATAAAGTAGCTACAATACTATCATTAATTAAATTTAAGTTTAAAAAATTAAAATTAGCATAATTAATTTTTAAAAAACAAAAACAACTTAGATTATCATTAAAATAATAAAATTATATGTAAAAAAAAAAGCATGCCTTTACCTGGCCAATAGAATCAATAAGTCTGTACTGATTGAGTTGTAGATATTGACCTGTTTTGTCTATGCTAACCCTTCGACTTTCTTTGAGAGGAGGCCTATGTCGAACTGCTCTTGGAGAAGAATATGGGGAGAAGGGAACATCTGGATAAATCCCCCGCTTAGATTTTTCTGAAGAATTATTAGTGGAGTTGGCCATATTTTGCTTTTCTTTTTCTTTGATGCTTGAATTAGGCTCCAATTGAAGCTCATCTTTATTTTCACAATTCCCAGGATGGGAAGTTTCAAAACAACCACTAGAATAGATAAACAAAATTTTATTCCAACACAGAATTTATTTGAAGAATGAGGATTGAAAAATAGATGTTTTCAATAACATAATTGTTTATTTTTTATTAAAATGATTGATAATTAATAATAAAATCACTTTTATAAATAATAACAATTTTGAAAAACCAGTTTTAGCACAAATTAATAGTATCATAACAAATGTAAAAAAAAATCATTATCATTCTTGTTACAGACAAAGGATGATAAGCATAGTCCACTCCACTTGAATGTTCCGTCAAAAGGAAATACTTTTAAGAAACTGAATGAAAAATATTTCCTTTCAGCCAATTTGAATACAGAAATGCTTCTATAAAATAATTACATTATTGTAAACTGAAACGGTCCAATTATCTCCTTTACTTGATGCTCTGTCGACACTTTAAGGTATTTTCCCGTCAATATTTAAAAGAAGAAAACATCAAATTGGCAGAAAGGAGTCCTTTTTAATTGAGTTTCATAAAAGTATAACTTTTAGATAGAACATACAAGTGGAGTTAGAGGAACGACAATGCATAACACCCAATAAGTTTGCTTAAAATTATTAATTTTTAAACAAAATAATTCTCTACAAAATATGAATGTTACATCCTTCCACAAAAGTGAATGATCATGCACTATTATTTACATTAGAGACAAGAGCTAAATTCTGATTTTTAGAAATAAAACAAGAGAAGGCCTAGTGGTTGTTGTTTCCAAAACAGATATAATATTAATTATCTCTAATTTTTACAGGTATTTAAGAAGTACTCTTGGATAGCCTGGTCTCTGAGAGCAAATAATATCACAAGACTACGAAACCGGTTCCGAAAAATAAATCAATATTATCAGCACCTTTTAAGAAGTACAAGTACTTAACATCAAATTGTAAATCTGTCAATTCTCTACTTAATAGTCTATTATTAATTCTATGAAACAGTTATTAACCTTCAAGTTAGTCAACACAATTAAAATCAATAACAAGAGCAAATATTTAAATTTACTATGTAGGACAACAAAGTGTTCATAGAAAACCAAAACCCACCTTGGATCCACAAACCCCCAAAAATTATGCTCCGTCTCTCTCGATTACTCAAAAGCAATCCTCACATTACGAGTACAAAACTGAATTTTCCCGTCTACTACAAAATATTCCGGACCCATTTTTAATTTACACTGATGGTTCGAAATCAGATGATGCTACAGCTTGTTCGTTTGTTACCCATAACTCCACATATAAAATAAAACTACATAAACTAAGCAGCATACACACAGCGGAACTTCACGCAATAGTCTCAGCCCTCCACTTCTGTATGTCAATAAACTAAATAGTCTTGATAACCGACTCCTTGAGTTCATTAAAGGGCTTAAATGATATGTACTCAAAACATCCAGTTATCCTTAAAATACACAAATATCTTCATACTCTGGAAAATCGGTTGGTTTTATATGGGTTCCCAGTCACGTGGGTATAGTTGGTAATGAGCTTGCGGATACGGCAGCCAAACAGGCACTAGCGCTTCCACAACGAGGTACTCCTATCCTGACCTCTCCAAAAATGCGTTTTCCTCTCAAAAAAGAAATATTGGATAGTTGGCAATATATGTGGAACGAAAGCCCACCTAGCAAATTAAAAGCTGTTAAAAAATTAGTGAAGCCTTGGATCACATCAAACCGCTCTAATCGTAGAGAGGAGGTCGCCGTGGCCAGGTTAAGAATAGGACACACGAACCTAACCCATGTACTTCTCATCACTAAGCAGCCACCACCAAATTGTCAGCATTGCAATAGCCTTCTCACAGTCAACCATATTTTCCAAGAATGCCCTTATTATACTTCAAGTCTAAATCGATTGTCTCTAAAACCAGATATATCAGCGGTATTAAACAACAATGAATCAAACATAGGAATGGTGATACAATTTCTTAAAATACATAGACTGTTAAATAAAATATAAAAATAAATATAATTTTAATTTTATTGTTCTTTCTTTTTTAATATTTATTTTAATATATTTCATCCTTTACACGTTTTTAAATATCTTTTTTATTTATTACTTAATAAAATTTTATTAATAAGTTATTGTTAATTATTAATTGTCCTCTAAAGAGTTTACAAATATAATCGACTCACAGGCGTTGATGACCCTAGGGTTTTACGCCTTAAAGCCTAAATAAACAAACAAACAAAGTGTTCATTTAATATATTATCTGCAATATTTGAGATTGAGGAAATATTCCTTCATTGTAATTTAAGGATAATAGTTTTTTCTCGGCGGCCATTTTTAATTTGTTTTTTGACTGAAAACAGGTTTTGGGAAAAATGCCTTTAGCTCTGTTAATTTTTTAGACATCAAACCATTATAAAAACTGAAATAAAGCAGATTATCTTTTCTACATTTCTGTCTATCAATACATCATCTAAAAAGAAAGAAAAGTAGTTTGAAAAATCATGAAAATAAACATAAAACAAGACTTTTAGTGTTGCAAAAGTGTAATAAAGAAAACCATAGATGATAAATAGTCAGAACGCAGTCATTTTTAAGGTTTTTATTAGTGACAACATTCCAACCCAAACATGAGGGTCATCATCGGGGCCACCACTAAGTTTTTTTTTTTTTCAACATGGCCAACCCTTGAACGTGTTTCGAGCACTGAAGGTATTCAAGTACTGCACCTATATCGTAGGTGTATACTATACTATATATACTATCGTCTCATTTTATATTTATTTTCATTTTATAGTTGTCAATTTTTTTTAACAACTTTGCTCACTACTTATGAGATGTATTGCAAGGACAAAAAATTTAGAGCCAAACATCTTTACAATTTTAGTTTTTGTTTTATTTTGATATCTGCAAAAATGCCTGAGTAAGAATAGGTCGGATATGATGAAAGCGACTCTCACCAGGTAGCAGTATTTGTTATACTATAACTTTAGAAGCAGTTAAGTCTCAATGATCAAATTCGTATCATACGTTTTTATCATAAAGAAGTATATACTGTATTAATTTCATAATTTTTCACTCAGTCCCTTTTGTGATATTCAACATCGAAAATCGCCAAAAACAACTTATGGCCGTTTTTGAAAATCCATATTTAAAAAAAAGACAAGGTTTTCAAGATTAAAATTTCATCAGCATGAAGTACCTTGTAGAACAACATATAAAAAAAAAAAAAAAATAAAGTTGAGACTCTTTTCTTTATTACTGAAGGAAGTTAGTTGACTTTGACTGTTTTACATATTATAGATGATAAATAGTCAGGACGCAGCCATTTTTTAAGGTTTTTATTAGTGCCGCCATTCGAACCCAAATATGTGGCTCATCATCAGGGCATGTTTCGAGCACTGAAGGTATACAAGTACTGATTACCTGAGCTATGCTATAACTTATAGAATCAGTTCAGTCTCAATGATCAAATTGTATCACATGTTTTTATCATAAAGAGGTGTGTACTGTATCAATTTCATAATTTTTCACTCATCAAGTCCCTTTTTTGATATTCAACATAAAAAATGGCTGAAAACGGCAGGCCGTTTTTGAAAATTCGCATTTAAAAAGTTGAAATTCTTTTCTTTATTACACTTTTCCAGCACTAAAATTCTCGTTTTATGTTTATTTTCATGATTATTTTTAAAATCACTTTCCTTTCTATTTGGATGATGTATCGATAGACAGAAATGTAGAAAAGATAATCTACTTTATTTCAGTTTTTATTATGGTCTGATGTCTACAAAATTACCAGAGCTAAAAAAAATGATAAAAATCAAAAATATCGTGCAATAAAATTAATTCGAATTGGGAGAATTCAAATGGATTGACCCATTGAATATTAAAATGAAAGTGGGAACATTTTATGGGCTAAATCTTCTGTTCTGTCAATGTCATATATGCAAGGGAATAAATTCACTGATAAAGGTAACAGTTTCTACATTCAACAGCATTAGGGGGGCGGGGTGGCCGAATGGGCTAAAGCGTGTGCACAGCAGATATATGAAGTTTTGAGAGACAAAAATAAATACGAGTTTGCGCCCCGGTGGCGGAGGGGATTTTAAATTCCCCGCCCTCACCCTCCGGGCCCAGGGAAATCTCACATAGCCTAAATGGCGAGGTAGGGAAGAAAAAAAAAAATTCAACAGCATTGATGTTGAGAAAAATTTGCATTAATTTTCACATAATAAGCAATTTGATTAATTGTCACAACTTTATGTTTTCTAATGGCCAGTTAATGAGGCAAAAAAAACAACAACATTTTGAGAAGAAACAATTACTTCTAAACAGAATTTGTATCACTTAGTGTTTTAAACACAGTAAATCAATCAATATCCTCGGTTTGTCATTATTCATGAACTGGGAAGGAAATTTTTTTTTTTTTAGATCATAACTTGGTGTCATAAATGTTTGGTAGGTATAGATATTGAGAGCAGTATCAATTTTAACAAGTTCTGGGTACCTTACCACCACTGATTATTGCTATAATCGACTAGAGCGAAACTTGTTATAGTTGAATAAATTTATAGAAATAAAACAAACTACCAACAGACTTTTATTCAAGTAGAACACAGCTTGGCGGTTTATTGGAAGGTTAAAACATAATTAAAGTGTTACCATACAATCGGTAATTATTTTATATTAATTACCATATTAATTATAATTTTAAGATAACTTGAGATGTAACCTAATAACTATATAACATTTACCTGATTGTTGTTGGAGTAACAAAAGTTAAATAAGAAGTAACCAATCACCAATGCTAATTGAAAGGATAGACTAATCAAGGGAGATAAAAGTTTTAAACAAAGCAGATCAAACCTGCAAGCAATCAATACTAATATGCTATAAAAGAGATAGCAATACTTATTATTACAAAACAATACTTATTAGTTTATAAAAATATTTCAAGGATCTTTAATATGAAGTGAAAGAGTTCAGAATTTTAAGGCATTTATGACAACCTACAAATTTGGGATTATTAGTAAATTTGATTAAAGAATGTATACAAATTTCATGTACATGCTAAGAAATAAAATATCAAAGCTAGAAAAGGAGTATAAAAGGATATAAAATGAATGAATATGAAAGATAAAAAAAAGAAAAAAAAAAAAAAAAAGGTGAGAGCTACATTAAGATAGATCTCACATAGAAAATATATCCCATGCTGACGATACAGCAATCAAGCATGTGTGTGGTCAAGAGATTAATAAGATAACGGTATTTTCATTCAAAGTAATTTGTCAATATTGATTAAGTGAGCTAAAATAGAGACATCCAACAATGGCAAGAATTCTGTCAAGTCCATTAGAACTAGGAGACTACGTTTAAATCATGCAATGTAACGTAGTGTATATAGGATCTAACAATATCTGCATCAATTCTCAAATTACCCAAAGCAGCTTAAATAATCTTCAAGATGGATAATGCTATCTTATGCTAACTAAGATAATATAATACACCTTTTGATCCAGAAATAAAGACTAATGATAAATGTGGTTACTCATACATTAATAAATGACAGTAATTACTAAACTAATGTTGTGTTTTTGAAAGTTGAAGATGTTATGGATATAATAGTTTTATTTATTTATTTGCTGAAATTTATAACTGCATTAACTAAAATACATCATGTAAATGTGAATTAGTATATGACATGTACAGACTTGAGGAGTTACTACCCATTGGTAGCACTCCAATTATAGTTTTATGTTAGACAGTCCCAAGGCCATCTTATTTTCAGACGTCTAGAAGGGTTGTCTGGAATCGAAGGGTATATAAGGTTAGAAATTATTGGATTTGGACGGGCTTAAAATTTATTATAGGGGACGGTATATCAGGATGGTTAGCGCGCTATACTAGTAAAGCAAAGATCATAGGAATGAATCCTGGCCCTACTTCCCACTACGGCTAGTCTCCGCGGATTTAGACCATAATATCCCCTTAACTAGGGGATGCGTTTATTATGCATTTGTTAATACTAATTTCTATGATTTTATGTTTGTAAGATATAAATAAATATACAGGGCCATTCAAAATATTGGAGGGGACGAACAGGACCTGATTTCAAACAATGGTGACATACCCCACCATCCCATAGGAATCGACACCTATGCTCTGATATAGAGAGTCACATTTTCTCCTTTACATACTGGTAGAGAGAGGTGATCGATATTGATTCTTTCACCAACCAACTTTAGTTCACATGTGTCATGCCTAGTCGATTGATGGAACAAGATCACAAAATCATACTGTACACAAAATTCAAAGAGTAGCCGATTGTTATAACTATCTATAAGGGTAAGATTGCTCAAGGGATAAATTAACACCCAATTGATTCTTTTTACTTGTGGTCATGGTCTCAATAAGGAGGATTCCTAGCACTGGAAGATTCACAAAGGAGGACTGAATCATCTTTCCACTCTTAAACAAAAATTAATTTTTTTCATATTTTCTATAAACAATTAGAATGAAATACTTAAACCATTGCAATAGCTACAGTAAGTTTACTACTTTAAGTGGTGTAAAAATGGTGGTTTTGTTCAGTAACCTTTACAAATCTCCAAAGGGAGTTATCTCTATGCCCAAACCTCAGGTGTTAAGTGCCCCAAAATTAAATCCGATACATTGATACTTTTTTGTTATTGCCCCACTAGTAAAAAAAATAAGTTTAAAACAAAATTGAAATATTTGCCATAAAAACATATGAATCTGTAAAAAAAAAAGTATAATCATGCTTGACTAGATTCGTATTTAGCAGAATTTATGTGTTGCCAAAAAATTAGAGCGATGGATCCATTTATCTCAATTATAAAAGATATTCATTATTTTTACAATGATTGTCTTCTTGTTAATCAATAATTTTTTGCACCATATGTTTTCAGTTATAACTTTACTAAATTATAATTTAAAAAAAAAAATAGATTTTTTACTGGTGGAGCAATAACAGAAAAGCACCTTAAATCCTGGGTGCACTATTGGGACTTTAGTTAGTGGAGATGGATCATTTTCAATTCATCATCAATTGAATTATTTACAAATTATACCTTCTATAATTTACTTTTAAGAAAGGTATATTGATCATACACCTTATACATACTGGCTAATTTTGAGATTCAGTGTACACTCCAATCGATGTAATCTTGAACCCCAAAATAAAAATCAGACAAAAAAACTAAATTAATTCAACACTAGATCTAAGTCTATGCAAATTAATTTTTACTAAGTTTTCACACCATTAATGTCAAGAGCAGCAAGTGAAATAAAAATCTTTAAAGCTTAAGATTTTTTATTATTTGTTTAATTCATTACAATAAATATTTTTTTTAAATTTATTATTGGCTATAACATTAAGTAAATGGACTAATCTATAGACTATTTTCACATATTAGGCTATTACAATGATGGTTAAATGATATCACTTGCTATTAACGGGTAACTAAATCTTTGGAAGCATTATTTAAAGAGAAACAGAACTGTCAATTTGACAACTGTGAAAAGTCATGTATATATGTACATGTATATTGATAGACTTATATCACAACATACTCATATGTATTTACTTACAGTTTGAGGTATAAACCAGCAAAAAAACAAAAACAATTTAAATCTTAAATTTCCTGTTAAAATAATCCCTAGAAACAAAATTTTCTAATTTTTGGACTTGATACTTGACATCATTAAAAAACTCAAATTTTAAAACATATCATAAAGAGTGTTAATAGTGAACTATTATGTTATCACTTAAATATTGTATAATGGTTTCCAAAACTCAAACACTGACAACCATTAACTATTTGATTATTTATTTATTTGATTATTATTATTCCCTCACTCTAAAGGTACTACTTTTACCAAGAGACCAAAAAAAAATTATCAAATCCAATTTAAAAAGTTACTTCTTTTGAAAAACATACCTTGAGCATCAAACTATTCCAAAGGCACAATAATATTATTAATCATCAATCTATACCAAACTAAAAGGTGCAAATAAAAACAAAAGAGTAACTTTCATATATAAAGCATACTAATAAGCACTACATAAGAAAACTACAAGAAACTAAATCTAAAATAATCTAACAATCACTTGTTGAAGGAAGGTTACGCTTGTTATAAAAACTGATAAGACTGACAAATTCCAACCAAGGAGTACTACACAACATAGAGGTCCTGAGTTATTTTTTTTTTATTAACAAGAAGTATGTCAATAAACCATTCCTAGTCAATCTGAAATGTAGCAATCATTGAGATAGTTATTCTTGAAAGTATTTTGGTACAATTAATAAGGAAAAACAAATCAAGTAATTTACAAATAAATCAAAAGGAGTAATGTTTTTTATGATTAAACAGGAGAAATAGCACCATAAAAAAACAAACAAAAAAAAAAAACTTAAAGGCATATTTTTTTATAATCAATATGTACATCATGTGCATACAAAAATTGTAAATGAAGTGAATGAAATTTTCGAAACTTGAAAATGTTAAGCTAATTTCATGTTTATGTCTTCAATAACCGAGAGTTATAAGAGTTATTGAAGTAAACATTTATTTAAGTTATTATTTTGAAGGAGTAGGATACATGGAGATAGGAATGGATATAAATAATTGATCCCATAAATGAGCTAGAATGACGTGGGTCATTTATTGCGTTCGATCTTTTTCGTAGGCGGCTTACACCAGTGCCGTTTCCCTGCAGATTAAGGGCGTTTTCTATCGAACGGTTGTCAAATATGTTAAAAAGTAATCAGCAATTTAGAAATATAAATCCATTCTCTCGGTATTTTCTTAAGGAACTTTATTGTTAGCCGGTTAATTACAAATGACGCTTGTTCAACTTTAATTTAACGACTTGAAAAAATTGACTTTACTGGTATTTTTTATTGCCAAGGTCAATTATTTTTTTATGCTTTATTATACTCTGACTATCTAGCTTTAATAAAAGACCGGTTATGAAGAAATTAAGCTTACTGCTGAATCTCAGTGACCGAAAAACTAACTCAAGCCAAAGTTGTCACTCAGCCATGTTTGGACGCCATTTTGGGACAGAGCGGCCACTTTTTTGTGGGAAGTTTTTTTTTTTATAATATACAGTTACAAGGAACACAACGATATGCAATTTGTAGTGATGTGGAGGGAGGATACACGGAAGGGGGGGGGTCTGGCCCACGGACTACCCTCTTCCACCAAATCCCTCCCTCCATCACCCCACCTTCAAAATATTAAAATTAATAAATATTTACTTCTTTGGCTCATATCAGACATGCTGTTAAAGATAAAAGACAATTATATATAATAAAACATGAAAAATTATTTATAATGATGTAGAGATGGTTGACCATGATATAATATTTGAAGGAGTTGATCGGGGGGTGCGGTCAAATAAATACTAAATTATAGAAATTTTTTTATTGATTATTTGTTTATTGATAAATATTACAATCTGTCTCAATAAAGGACATTTATAATAGAGTTCTGAGAGCACATTCACACTATATTTACAAATTAAAAAAAAACAAGCTAATTTCAAATAATATAAAGCTACAAAATAAAATATCATAGTGAAGGAAGAATATAAATAATAGTAATAATAGAATGGAAATAAATGAATAAAATAGAATTAAAATTATCTTAAAAAAAAAGTAATGAAAATAAACATCTTAGATGCAGGCATAGCTATTTATACTATTTACAGTCGGCCATGGGAACTCCGAACCATACTTATCCCTCCACATGTGGAGGGAAAGCAAGGTTTCAGGAGATCCCTGCGCTTCTTCCTCAACCATTTCACTGGTATTAAAAGCCAGCGGAGATTGAGTAAGGGCGAAATTATAGAAATAGTATTATTTAATTATTATGCCGACGTTTCGACCCACCTTGGAGGTCTTCATCTGGGCTACAAAATATAAAAGGTACATGGTGAAAATAAAATAAATGAATAATAAGTAGATGTTAAATAAGAAAAAGTTATCTGATAAAGAAATAATAAGATGATATCAGAGATATAGTGGGTGACAATGTAATTAAAATATCAAGTATTATATATATAGAAGATACAAACAAAAATAGAAAATAAGTATGAATAAAAATAGAAAACGAAGGAGAATATAGTATGTAAACTAGTAAGTATGTAAGTATGTAAGTTAAAAGTAAACAGACTTACATACTATATTCTCCTATATTATTAACCATATTATCTTTATATTATTAACTTACACACTATATTTTCCTTTGTTTTCTATTTTTATTCATACTTATTTTATATTTTTGTTTGTATCTTCTATATATATAATACTTGATATTTTAAGTACATTGTCACCCACTATATCTCTGATATCATCTTATTATTTCTTTATCGGACAACTTTTTCTTATTTAATATCTACTTATTATTCATCTATTTTATTTTCACCGTGTACCTTTTATATTTTGTAGCCATGATGAAGACGTGCAAGGTGGATCGAAACGTCGGCATAATAATTAAATAATACTATTTCTATAATTTAGTATTTATTTGACCGCACCCTCTGATCGACTCCTTCTCAGAAAAATAATTTAAATGAAAAATATAATTATCTAAAATTTGAAAATCTGTATCTTATAAACTAATTGATTTATTGAGCCCGTTCTGTTATTAAATTTTAGCATATTTAATCAAGTTTAAAAATATATAGAATGTTTTTTTTGTCGAAAACGTGCTCCTTCATGGATAAAATGATGAAAACCGAAAAAGTGGGAAAATATAGCAGTTTTAGGGATATTAAAAAGTGATCCGGTGTGAGACGGAAGGGGGGGGGGGAGCCAAGAAAACTGGAATTTTGCATCTCAGTCATATCCCATACAAGAAAATAAAAAGAAACCTTCTACCCCCATTCAATGCAAGTTACGGTGCACAAGGTTACTGGGCTAATAATTCTCAAAGGCCACTTTGTTATATAAATATTATTTTTGGGAACGCACCCTTACATCCATGTTTGAAACGGTGTATTATCCAAGTCTATTGGTTTTACATCGTTGCAGTTCAACCACAGGAGTTAGGTCTGTCACTATAAAACTACTTTAATCATATTAATACGTAATGATATTAATCAGCCTTATCGATTATATTGTGATTGTACAAAAATAATGCAGATTTGACATTTTTTTAAAAATTTTTATTATTATTAATAGTGAATTTTTGTAATCAACTTATAAAATAATAGTTGTACAACATGGAAGTGTGTATTAAAAATGAGCAATTGTCACCGAAAGGCAAGATTTTTTACGTACTCCTGAGCATATGATCAGAAATATAAATTTCGATGTATTTTTGGACAAACTCGAAATATTAGATACTCCCTGAATGCAATAATTGATACTTAATAACTTTTATTGTACGAGTTTTTAATTTTATTAATCACTAAATAATAAAATTAAAACATTTTTTTTTAATGCTGTAACCCAATGTAGTGTGGAGGGACGATACAAAACTATCATACTTATTTTATCCTTAAAATCCTAATTTTATTGGCTTTGATAGAGACTGCACTGAGGACCTGGACAAAGTATTTTAATTATTATTTTAATAATAAATAATATATTTTTTTAAAAAGCCATGTTTTTCCCCAACTAATTTAACAAATTTCTTAACATTTATTCAACAAAATATGCTATGCTACCCTTTCTTATAATAAGACTCTGGGATCCTGCATAACTATTTTAAGGAAAATAAATTTATGAACAAAAATAATTGTATTAAGAATTTAACATAATCGTCTTCAAAACATTTTAACGCTCAGTTTTTACAGGGGAGAATTCTCGTAAAAACGATCAGTTTTGCTAAAATACTTCAAGGGGAACCTGATCAATTCGATAATCTATTTTATGTATTTACATTTTAAATACATTTTTTGTATTTTATTATGTTGGAAAAAAATGCAAATCCCTTTTTTTGGATTTTTTATTTTAAAAAGAAAACACAACTACAAACAATGTATTATGTATTTTACTTCTCAAAATACGAAACACAAAAATTTTGTTTTATTTTGTATTTTAAAATATTTCATTTGAAATACTGCAATATCTCTACTGCTCTGTTTATTCAGGTAATTTTTATAGATATACAAAATTAGTAGAGAGATTAGAAGTTGATTTCTCCATAACAAATCTAAATTAAATTCAAATTAGTTAAATGTGATTTAGCAGTTATAAAGTTACAATCCCACTGGCAACGAAAAATCTTGAATCGAAAAATGACTCTTTACATGCTTAAATCCATTTTATTAAAGAAGTTAAAATATGTTTAAAAAAAAAATAATAATAATAACAAGAAAGGGAATATATGAAAAAAAAATCAGGGGTTGAAACTTTCATGAAATTTTATTAAGAAAATCCTTTTTAACAGTTTATGTGAAATTTTTTAGGGAAAAAGTTCCACTTTAAAGGTTTCTGTAAAACTTTTTAGGGTAAATATTCCATTTTAACAGTTTCTGTGAAACTTGTTAGGAAAAAAGTTCTTAAAATATCAGTTCCAAAGAACTTTTTTTTTTTGTAATAATTGTCTAGATTTGTAGTAAAAGTTTAACTTTTATATATTCAAGTTCTAAAAAAAGTTCCGTTAAATGAAAAATAAACTGTAATTGGGCTTAGATTAGTGTTATAATTTTGTCTTAGATCTATTGCACATTATTTAATGTGTCGTTTGTTTGAGTAGCTATGAATGAAAGTCATTTTTTTGAATCGATTTTTTAGCAAAATCGGCAGAACTTTTTCACTAAAGATTTTAAAAATAAAAGTTATGTAAAACCTGTACTTGAAAAGTTGTAAGGAAAAGAGTTTTAGTTCTAAAAGATTCGAAAAACTATCGAAAATAAAAAATTCGATGATACTAAAACTTTTTAAAAATAAAATATTTTTTCCCGTTTCAAGCTCTGAAAAAAATTGAAGCAGTGTTTTAAAAAAAATTTTCATAAAATAAATGTTAAAAATTCAAAAATGGATGTTTTGCTGAATATTTTAAACTCATACGAACTATACTGAAAGAGCTTTTCCTTTTTTAAAACATTTACTTGATTATAAGATGTATAACACGGCAGAAGATATTTAGAAATGCACATGGGACTGAACTTTAAGGTGAAGAACATTAATTTCATTGTTTCTAAGAGGGTTAATACAGATTGTCATATTTTTTTTCCATTTTGTTTTATTTTATGTAAAATGAAAACTATTAGTTTAAGATTATTTTATTTTTTTCTCACATTATATTAATAAAAAGAATT